TGTGAAAGATTTTCTCGGGGAAGAACGAAGCCCGGACTCGAGAGAGCGGCGGAAATCGAGCCTATGTGAAAGTTGGACTGGTCCAAATAAATATTAATTTAGTTCCGCGTAAACACATCGGAGCGGCGTACAGATTTTGCAACGTCGGTGAGTTTGACTCGTCAAAATATTAAATCATTGTACTCACTACTAGGTGGACACACTAGGAGCGCCATTAGATCATTTTTTTTTTATCAAGGCTACGTTACATTTCGCCAGGGTCATAATATTGTCCTGTTTGTTTTGTGTGAAATACATTTCTTTTCCGTAAAGGAAAACAGAAACTTGCCCAGACTCGCAGATTTATGTAAACAGAAACTTGCTGAGACGTGCAGATTTATATTTGGACGATTACGTCATAGGGTCATGTCGAATCGTGACTTGAAGAGATTGTCTGTGAGGTGCGTACGTACATCACATACACTAGAAGCGCCATTAGATGAAATTTTTTATCAAGGCTACGTTACATTTCGCCAGGGTCATAATATTGTCCTGTTTGTTTTGTGTGAAATACATTTCTTTTCCGAAAAGGAAAACAGAAACTTGCCCAGACTCGCAGATTTATGTAAACAGAAACTTGCTGAGACGTGCAGATTTATATTTGGACGATTACGTCATAGGGTCACGTCGAATCGTGACTTGAAGAGATTGTCTGTGAGGTGCGTACGTACATCACGTACACTGGAAGCGCCATTAGATCAATTTTTTTATCAAGGCTACGTTAGATTTCGCCAGGGTCATCCTTTGCCTAAATGATATTTTATGAATATTGTCCTGTTAAATAATTGTCATTTTGTGTGAAATACATATCTTTTCCGTATATTTTCTGAGATAAACAGAAACTTGCTGAGAAATGCAGATTTATAAATAAGGACGATTACGTCATGGGGTCACATGAGTCACGTCTAACTGTGACTTGAAGAGATTTTGCAACGTCTGTGATAAGCCAGGGTCGCCGTTAGGTCAAATTTCATATCAAGCTATTACTTTTGATTTGAACATGAATACTCTGCTGTTTATTTAGTGTGAAATACATTACTTTTTCGTGTTGGTGCAGCAATTCACTTCCTTGTATGCAGAAGATTTATAAATAACAACCATTACGTTACAATATCACATTTTGACTCACGCAATTTGTCGAACTGTGACTAGAATAGCTGCGAATGATGATGGTGCAACGCGGAACGTCTGCGATTGATGGTTCAACACCGATTCGTACCTATGTTGTCGTGTTTTTTTCCTCTTATTCAACTTTGGCTTTATATTGAGGAATGATCTTCAAAGACTGCTCAGAGGCAAAAAAATTGACAGTAGGCACTATACGCAAACATCAGACTTCAGCGTGACTGCCGTGACTAATCTGATAGATTTCAAACAAGAAAGCAGGTAAAACGGCTTGCTTGCTTGATAAAAAAAGCCCGGTTATATTTTCTTCGAAAGTTCTTGTTATGCAATCAAATAGTTATAATAATACTCCCAAAAACTATCAAGAATTTTTAGAGTATCTACTTCTAATGTTTCTTGAATATGCGAAGTTGTACACCAATTAATTTATTCATCACTTCCTACAGACGCGAGTGTACATGTGGTACACGAATGTAGCTAGCATGATTCAATCCATGAAAGATGGAATCAAAGAGTAGACAGTAGTAATAACTGAAAGTACCTGTTACAGTTTTGCTTTCTTTGCAGATAGCACCAAGAAGCAAGTGCAAAAATTCACGTCTTGGGCCCCCCAAATCAACAGCATCTTCCTCTTCTTTAAAAGTAGCAAATGTTACTTGTATTAAACCTTTGCCCTCTGCAAACTTTTTCCTTTTGAAATATGGTGCAGCTGTTGCCCATATTGAAGCCCTGCTGATGACGATGTTACGATTGGGACCAGCTATTTGTTGACTAGCATGGGTTTTTACTGTTTCAGTGAACTGGTCTACAGACATTTCTTCTGGCACTGAGTGGATAGCCGGTTGTTGTTCCTCGTCACGCCCATGCTCATCAATGCTCAGTTGGACAGCACGATCAATGGCTTGGGATTCAGTAAATCCAAAAGGCCTAAAGTTTTGGAGCAATCACATAAAAAAACAAGACTCAAAGTAGTAGTGGGTGACATTAGACCTGTATGATTATTACTGGGCTGCTCTTACATACATGTACAGTCCATTTACCATCATGATGGCATTTATTTCTCTTATTTTGATAAACTTTAAAGCACAACTAAATTAACTGATATAATACAATGTACGGTAAATCAAACTTGCTGTTATTACCGGAGTATCTGGGATTTTAAAATTGGCTTTGATTTAGAAAACCACTGGCTAGCAATCGTGGCTTTATTATTGGCCGCTATGTTTGACATGCTTGGCCTTCGACCATTTCACACGTGACGATTTGGCTTAACTTTCCCTCCTATCACTCATGATCAGTATTTAATTTTCCGAGCTCATTGCCCCACTACAAATGCTCCCGGCTCATTAAATCCGGGCTTTTAACTAAATTGTTTTCTTGCTTGAAAGAGACACTGAAAAGAACCGGATCTTTTTGACATGTTGCGCTGAAATCTTGCCAGATCTTGATGGTGCGACACGTGTAACACAACATTGTACGTTTTTCGCTAGGAGAAAGGAAATTCAGTGGAAACTCCCAGCTTTAGATTTGGATCTTTTCATATCAGAACATAACTTATATTTATTTCATGTGGCAAGCGTAAAGTCATCGTGTCATAATAAAATCTGAGAGATCAATTAATCGTGTGTTAACAAACGATCATATTTCCGGTTCTATAGTTGTGGAATCAAATTTTAGTCACGTTCTATTATTTAACACTTAACATAGCGTTATTCCACCCTTTGAACAACCGGGCGCAGTCCTGCATGTGACACGTAGTCAAACATTTGCACCCAACAAAAGATTATATTTCCGTAGCAAACATATTTCCACCCTTACTGTAACATTCAAAAATTATTTTTCCGGTTCTAGTTATGTAATCAAATTTATCTAAAATCATTTACACTGGTACTCACGTTCCAATAAACTTCACTACAATAATATTTTCTTTATTCGCAATCCAGTAGATTGGCTTTCTTTCAGCTTTTGTTGTTTGTTCTACACAACGCAAACCTTTGAAAAGCAGTGAATTTAATAGTATTTTAAAAACACTTCTTTGATTTTTATCCCAGTCTTATTCGCTGGCATACCGATGTAAACATCGTCAAGTCTGAGGTATGTCTATAATTATCCGTGGTGGCGCGCATGACTCATCACACATCGTAAACATATGAAAGGCATTGAATCAAGTATTCAGTTGAATAAAGCTTATCATAACGATAACATGCGTGGCCTTCGATAATTTCACACGGCGATCCCTAATTCCCGTTATGATCTCTATGACCCGTATTTAATTTTACGAACTCAGCCCGTATTTATATTTCCGGTTCTAGTTATGTAATAAAACTTTATAATGTGATGATGAATATATGAATGAAATCATATATATGAACTGCGGAAATGAAATGAACAAATGAAGCCAGAATTTTTTTCTGGCTTAAAAATTGCAATTGCTTAAGGTGGCCCGATACTATTTATTGGCGCGTTGGTTACATTTTTGAGTCGCGCGTTTTGGCAGAAAATATTTAACCAATTTCTTTGATTTTTGGTATCCTAAATGAAAAATGTTTGAATTTCAAGAACATGTTATTTATTTTTTTGTGCGACAAAAAACGTTTGAGATATCAGCATATTTTTAAAACCTCATTTTTACAAAAAATGCCCATAATTTTGAATTCCAACGACAGATTTTTTTCCTTACTTCATCAAATAAGCCTCAGAGCTCTCAAGTTTTGTATCTGCAAGTTTCATGAAAATCATGACCATGCAACTCGCTGCACAAAATGCTGGTTAAATTTACTTTGAAAATGCTATGTTAATGCATTTGTGTTAGCTGACGTACAAATAGCGAATGAGTGCAGCCAGCCCATCTACCATCTGAAAGGCTGATGCTGCCTAAAGCTTTATCGAAAGAAACTGAGTAATCAGAAACCTACGCCAAACACAGTCAGCGATACAAGAAACAGAATTTTATGCTGCATGCAAGGTGAAATTACATATCTTATATTCATCTGGCTTATCGCGCATTTGTCCCTTTATTTTCCAAAATAATCTTAGCATTACAAAATACAGCATCTACAGAAAAACCCTTAACAGTTTTCAGCACCGTAGGTTTCCTTTCTGAGGGGAAATAAAGCAGCCAAGTCAAGTACTTCTAATCATCCGCTTTTCAGCTACAGTGAAAACCCTTGTGCTTGATAATATATTCAAGATCTCTGGCTTTGCTGTCGCATTCCTCACGGCCAGTTTGCCACATATACAACGCAGAAATGTATAAACTACAAACGAACATCTTTTTAAAACAACACTATCTGTTCGACTTGTACCATTACCGGGTTATGAGGTATTAACATGCGCATGTGCAACGAACAACTTCCTACACGTGATGCACTTCTCTTGATACAGAGTTCACATTCCAATCATACCAGTTGGAAGACGAAAGGAATGTTCATATCTAGCTTCAAATCCCTGTTTAAGAACATGCTGCTGACCACTCTCAAGATTAGTCTCCGGGCTCGCAAAATTATTTAACTATTTAACAGCAATTTAACTTAAATTAGAATAATCAATATGTGATAATTAGTATAAATCTAAAAATAAAATTAAAAATAGAATTACTAGCATATATGTATATAACAAGAAAGGAAAAAACACAGCATGCGGCTGAGCAAATGATTAAATGATTTCATTACATGAATTTCTTAATTTCTTGGGGTCAAACAGCCACTGCAGAACATCACCATTTGGCTGTTTCATAACACTGCTCTACCAATTGAGCTACATGTATGAAGCCAATTGGGAGCTGGTCAATATGTGCGCACTGATGACCAAGTCATGACCACGTCCTAAGGCTAGTTGACTTGATAGCTCAGTTAGTAGAACACTGCACCTGTAATCACAGGGTCATGTGTTCAAATTCCATTCAAGCCAGAATTTTTGCAAGCTGTCTTTTCACAACTGCTTAAGTTTCTTTCTTAAGTGTGATGTTCTTTCATGCATTAAATCTTTCACCTGCAGTTCATATATATGCCTTAACCCTCGGACCATCTGATGACTTCATGTTTAGGCACTGCAACTCAAATTTCCGAACTGCTGCCGCTGCAGTTGTAACTGTGAGAAATTCGGCTTGGATTACCTTACTTAAATGTGCCGCTTCCTCTGCAATGTCCCACAGAAAACTAGTAAAGAGCAGCCCTCTGAAAGATGTCAAGAACTTGACCAAAAATGCTGCTCGCCCCTGCCTACCACTTGATCCTACACGCATCTCTTTCGTGGCGGTGCATCATGAGTGCAGTTTGGAAATGCGGTAACCATCTAGCTCCAAAAACATTTGTTGGTCTAGAGATCTGGTCATTTAGTGCTTCTTCTATATCCTATAAGCCTAAAGGTAAAATATTAAAGTAATCGCAGTTAAAGGGGCAGTATCACAAGAATTCTCCCACGTTTTTGTGTAAACTACTCTTGAATTATGAAGGTTCACTCGCTGATGCACAAAATGGCTCCTGAACAAGAGAAAGACATTAATTCATTTTCCTGAGGTGGGAACAAACCAGAATAATTGATTTTGAACTATTTTTCCCAAGAACACCATAAAACTTGAAAACTCTGTCCCGACTTTTTCAAGTTTCATTCCACTTCCTACCCGTCGAACTGAGTTAAAGGTAAAATCGATACGGTTCATTTTAAACCAACTGCGGCAATTCTCGTGTATATAACAATATTTTTGCAGTTCCGAACTGCGTTAATTAATTTTTCTCGCCTTTATCTCTCTTGTTTTTATTGAATCTTTAATAAGCACCTCCCCCGATTAAGCGCCGCCCTCAAATAAGCGCCACATAAAAAAGTTGAACAAGTAATAAGCGCTGCTGCGCTTTTTTGAGTAAATTCCTGAAAGTATTTGTTGTAAATTACCGTAACCTTAACAGATACAGGCAATATTTGGCAACAAACATCTAAAAATCCTAAAATAATGTCGCAGTGTCCCCACCCCCATTCCAAATAAGTGTTCAGAATTATATGTAAAATGTGCAAGGTGCCCTCTACTCGTAGCCTAAGTAACATTTGTCAGAAGCGGTCGGTTATAGCCCACGTGACAGGCTGAAAGAATGGATGGGGTAGGGGGGAGGGGTGTTTCATGACGATTGTGGGAAGCCTATAGTGGTGGTGGTTGGGGGTATTAAAGGCACTTCTCCCCATTCCCCCAATCTAACCAGGCATGGACGGATCCAGGAATTAAACTCGACCGGTTTACTAGAGTCTGAGTGCCGAATGTATGGAAGTCTGGAGGCAAGTTCCCCCGTAAAAGTTTTTAGATTTTCACTCTCTAAAATTATATTTACTGCGATTTTGAGTCATTTGGAAAATTTGACCGATTTCAGTAAAACCGAGGAAGCATGGGGCATGGGGCTCTCATACCGCATCAAAGTAGAGATCAAAAGATATTTTACCTTCAAGCTTGTCATAGATTTTTGCCCTGGATCTGGGCCTGATTATAGGAATCAAAAGAAATAGTAAAATGTTACGTGCTCAGGCTAGCAACAACTTGCATTCACTGTCAAGGGCATTGTCTGCACTTAGTCCGTTTAGCTGAAGGTGCCTCAAGATGCCTCTAGTGCAATCTTTAAGGTAAACAACTTCAACTTGGGTCGGATAGTCGCTGCTTAAACCACAGGCAGTCGCCCGTCCAGTCGAGTGGAAAAACTACATGATGGTGATGCCAAAGGACACTTCTCTTTCCGATCAATACAACAATATTAAGCAGGAGAAAAACCTTTGCAGTATTTATTGCAAATGTATTTCGTAAGATATAATCTGATTGGTAGTAAAATTACAGCAGCACGTACAATGTTGCGAAATTGGTGAGGCAGCATCTCATGACAGTAAAACTCTTGCATATTTCGTAATCTATGTGAGAAGCATTGTGTGACCATCTGCTGTCTGAAGGGATATTAAAATATTGTCAATATTAAATGTTGCTTCTCCAAATGGACATTTTTTCCTACACGTGTTTCCAGATACATGATAACAGATATTTTTTAACATTACCGTGACATTTAATATGTCCTCTACATCCCGTACGAAACAAACAACGTTTAAACAGCGCTGCTTTAGCTACTCACGAACGCTGCATTTAACCACGCAGGAAGGTTGCACGATCGCTGTTTTGGTAGCGCTGCCGTAGTTCCAAAAATGACTGCGTGAGTCATGCATAAGCTACGCTGTGTACTGCAGGAGAGTCACAGGAGAGCTGCTGGTAATAAGTCACACGAAGCCATCAGGTTTAAAGCAGCGTTTACGCAGCGTTACTTTAGGCTGCAAATACGACCGTCGCGTGAAAAAGCAATGTTTACGTAGCGCTGCACAGCGTTACTTTAGGCTGCAAATACGGCTGTTGCGTGAATTGATAAATATATCTGTCAACAAGTTACACAGTATGATACAAAATATAAAAGTCACACTCACGCTCTTTTGAACGTTGAAATTTTTAATAGGAGTTTGAAAACAGTTATACAAGGCTACATAAAAACTATAACTTCCAATTTGGTAAACCATTAGATCTTTAACTTGCTTATTGTTGTAATCAATTGAGTTGCAAAATAATCTAGAATTAAGAAAGGAAATTTGAAACTTATAGCACTATGAAAGTACATAATTTTTAAAAATATATGGGTCGATACGTTTGTCGCGTATTTCTTTCAATATGCATGCTCACCTCGATCTTTGATCGATCTGCCTTGTCCTTTTCTTCGGGAAATTATATTACAGATGAACCCCAAGGTCTTGGAGGCAACCAATTCGTTTTTACAACAGACTGGAGAAAATCCTGAAATATCCCAGCAGACAAACTGGCATGAAGCTGCAAATTAATGCCATGCATGGTTCCTCTTCAAGCGATATGCTTTTTTTCTCCTTTTTTGGGGGGTTTATTATATTTATTATCTAAAATTGTTAGATATCACTAAATACTAATTTTAAATTCAATACTTAATTTCAGTTATAATTTGCTTCCTTCTTTTAAGCCTTTTTTACAAAACAAAAATAAATAAAACAAATAAGGCGAGGCCGCATTCTGGGTATAAAATTAGCTTGAATTATTTTTGCCAATGTGAAGAGTTAAAAAAAAGGAAAGTGGTGGTACTGGGCAAGATAACTAGTGTTAAAGAAGTCACAGTTCACTTGAAACGTCCCCATTTCGATTAGAATTTGGCACTTCAGGAACATTTGTGTAAATATTTTTAAATTTGGCAGCGTTTTGTTTATTTTAGAAGTATAAATATGATACCTGCCTATAAGGAGTGCATGATGTACGAGTATATCCTCAATTCTATCTATTAGTCCCAAGCAAGAAAGTGGGGTCAGATAAAAATTATGTGACTTGGCCTGATGTTCTACCAGCCAAGTTTATTCAAGCAATATATTACAGAAAGCCTCTGCTAACGAAGAATTGGTTGTATAAATGCAAATCAGTTTTCTGGGAAAATCAAACGAATAATTTTTTTTTCATTTGGATCCAAGAAAGTTCGATTCTACAAACCACAAAATATCATCCTGCTTATGTGGCTTCATTCTGATTCATTCCTGCATCAATCCAACGGTTGAAATTGTAACACGAGCAGGCAGCACACTGAAACAATGACATGTTGTCAAAGCCAACCAATCACATTTTAGTACATATCTCCAGATCAAATATAAAAAAATCGAATTTTTGTGAGTGTCTTTCGATTCTCAAAATTCTTGGAAAATGGCTCTTAATTATCACAGATCATGGTTTTTATATGAAAAGAGCATGTCATGTGAAAGTTCTCAAAAGCTGTCCCATTCTGGTGCTGGTTTATCGTACTCATTTTTAACAGAATGTTATTTTAAATGCTTAAGGGTCCATTAACCGATTTTTCAGAGCCGTTGGTAGGAAAAATTAATTGTCATATAAATTCCCCCTCATTTCAGTCATATCAGAGTTATTTTGTGGGTTTTAACATTTTCCTTATTAGTAACACCAAATATGACGTCATCAGGCCACGTCCATGGTCACGTGACTAATACAGAAAAAATCCAAAGGCTCGTCAGCTTATTACTTTATTGGAAGTTATTTTGTCAGCGCATGAGCAATTTGCATGACCAGAGGAACCTTTGAAGCATGGACATGGCACAGTTTCGTCGGATTTTAGCAGCAAAGATATTTTGTAGGTGGCAAAAGTGCGTGAAAAAGAGAGGATTGTAGACTTTATTTGACTTAAGTTGTTTCTTGTAAACAATAGCACAGAACAAGGCTTTTCTCATTTTATTCAAGTACATGTGGAGTCGGATGTGACACGGGGTGCCATGTTGGACATCAACAACATCCTCTTCTACAAGATGTTTAAGAGAGCCTGTCACTAATAACCAGACAAAATTTTAATTTCGCGGCAAGGGTGGAAAATTCGATTTCTCTCTTATTTTAATGTTTGATAGGCAGGGGTATAACAAAAATCACTGTATACTTTTTTTGGCAAAATATCCTTTTATTTGAAAGAAAAGTGCAAATAACCAAATTCCGTTGAAAATCACCATTTGAGGCGTCAAATTATTGCACGAGTTTGTTATCCTCGCAAGCAAAAACGAATGATTCAACGTTCTTTAAAACACTGAAAACGTTTTGTGCAATGTCTAAATATTTGCCACAACGATTTTGGGAAATATTCCGTTGTTCTTTCCATACAAAATAATTTAATTACGAAGGCATATATTTCACTCACGGTAAAAGTACCTCGTGAATAAAATATATTTTCACCATGTGCTAAACCTTCAAATGGATTAAGCTTCTGGCGGTTGAATTACAAAAGGGTGGCCTCGAGATTGCTGCAAAAATTTCTTTGGGGTAACGGTTGAGAGCGGCGCGAGATCATTTCAAAGTCCGTTGAAAATCCGGTTATTTGACCTTTAGCGGTCAA